TATTTCTAAAGAGTTTGGCATAGTTTCGGAAAGGAAATCAAAATAAAAACAAATAACAAACCTTATTTTTTTAACTTTTTAATTCAGGTTCCAATGTCCGATTTGGGCATATAAACAAATGCCTAAATCCGGAAATTGGTGAAACTGCAGCCAAAAATAGATGCGGTCTTTCACCGCCATTCTTTTCGCCGGGGACTGTATATAATATTATTAAATTACATGTAAAAAAAAATGTTCCCGTATGAAAAAGGAACATTTTTAAAATGAGTAAAAAATATTATCTAGTGATTTGCTACATTATAGGTTGAAGGATAGAACAAATACTATAAATATTTTCTCAAAGGATTCCAAACTAATCATTACTTAATTGAATTCTGTAGGTAATTTTGTATTAAACCAATGTCCATGTTAGTAACTTAATTCTCAATTTTTTGTATTTTCTTCGATTCCTTTGCCACATGATTAAATACTCCATGACCTCATCGAATAAATGATTTGAAGCAAAATTTTAAATCAATAGTAAAGTCAGGAATTAAAAAAAAGAACGACATAAATCGTTAATTTTATTGGATAATAATAAATACATATTGAAGAAAAATGATAGAAACCTATCTAAAGCTAAAATAGTTGATGAAAATTGAATATAGGACAAGCGTACCCATATTTTCACACTTGTTTAGCTTATAGTACGAAATGAGAATGCATATCTTTCTATATTTTTGGTCCTTTAGTTCAAGGATTGTCTTTACCGACCAGCAGATATATCATTTTATTGGCGTTGCAAATGTCTTTTATTATTTTTTAAAAAAATAAAAAAAAAATTTAGAAAGAGAGCGTAGTATTAAAAGAGCTGAAGCGACTACTAATGTAGCTAATAAAATAAATCATCAGAATGTAGGCGATAATCATTTGATTTAAAAATGTCCATTATCTTTTGATAATAATCAGTCCTAAAAGAGCCTAAGCGTTCGACTTTCGTTAGCTGTACCTAATATCATTAGATAAATTAAAATAAAAGTATGTAAATACATATAGAAGAAGAAACAAAAGAGAAACTATCTAAAGCTAAACTAGTAGAAGCACTTCGACGCAAATTAGACATAGGACAAGCGAACCCATATTTTCTACTTTCTTTGCCAAAAGTACGAAACGAGAGGATACTTCTTTCTATATTTGGTCCTTAAGTTCAGGGAGTGAATTCACTGACCAGCAGATGTATCACTTTAACTAAGGCCATTAATTTTTATATATTTATTTTATTTTATTTTTTTTTAAAAAAAAAAGAAATAGGAAATGATAAAAAAAAAACAAAAGGAAGAGAGCGTAGTCCTAGACTACCTTTTGATAAGTGTCAGTGTGTTTCAGCTTCTTAATTGTCAGTAGTTCCACGTAAAATAATGATTTCGTGCATGCTTTACGTGTGTTGAAGAAAAGATTAAAATGTTTATTAGTTTGAAATTTGCGATATATATTGTATGTGGAAAATTGTTTTAAAAAAAAATGATTGGTTGGCTTCATCGTGATCGGCATTTAATAAAAACTCACTAAAGTGGTATTTATGTTCAAAAACAATTTGAATCAATTATATTCTATAATGATTGTATATAATTAATGATTTAATGAGCCCACCTTTAACGAAATATTGATCAAATGAGTGAGTTGAATCCACGTTCAACTCGATTAATTAAAGTTTATGATCCGATACATCTACGAAACTTCGAATGTAAAACGGTTTTGGCAATATTTTTCGCGACACTACGATTTTGTATGAAATATTTTTGCATATATCAAACTGACAAAATTACCTTTATGATTTCTAACGAAACTCCCTTTGTGCTAAAGATTTATTCCACTGCCGTCGAAATGGATGATAGTACTGCAACTTCCCCATTCCCTTTGGAACTGTAAATTACAGCAAAGATACATTATATCTGATTGACGAGATTGTAATTTTGGTTGTGAATGTTTAATAGCACCCTAACACGCAAAGAATGATGCAAAGAATTAATAATATACCTTCTTTTTTATTTACTTTTTTTTCACGTATATTTTAATCATTTTTTTTTGCTTGCAAATAATGATAACACTAAGAAATTGACTGAAAGTTACATTGTATACTTTAAAAATATATATATATTCATATATTCTTTGTTAATCAAAAAGATATAGAATCAAGAAAACAAAATTAAACTAATAAAGCATTAGTTCTAACATATTTACAAAACAAACATTCAGCAAATGCATTAGGTCATAATAATATACTTACCTAAATTGTAGAGAAAGTTTTTTTTTTTAAAAAAAGAAACTTTTCATGTTCTTTACAAACGATCAAATTATTCTCTCATATATATGAAACTATAAAAAAAAATATCGCTTTATTTCTGTAACTTTGGGCTTCAGGAACACGTGATACCGACATTTTGAAATAGAAAGAAAAGAAAAAATAACGATCATAAACTCCAAAAAAAAATAGCATGAAAAAAAACACAATGAGTAAAGTAGATAAAAAAGAAACTGGTGAATATTCTCACATAAGGGACAACAATTAAAAAAATTTTTCATTTTTTAATCTTTTAAAATCCTTTAACTTCACAGTGTGTTCTAAATTTATTTGTTTTGCAGCTTGAAATTTTAATAAAGTCGTCTCAACTGATTTTTTTTTCAGATGAATATCAAATGAATGCGCAATTGGGATATACAAACTAGGATAATCACGCTGAACTCAGCACATAACAAAAAAAATATCAAATACATCAAAAATGTCAAACACGCGCCTTTATTTTCCAGATTCTCATGTTACTTTAAGAATTGAGATATTAATCTTAGAGTAAGGTTTTCGGACATAATGTTAAAGCCATTATTTGATGTTCTGATTTTTTATAATACTTCTTCAATAGAGTCACGAGTTAGGCATAATTTACTTTGATTTCCAGGATTTCAGATTTATCAAATCAATTTAATAATATAAGATTTTAGTATAGCAGAATGCTTTTATTTAAATTATTCAAAAATAATAGTATGAGTATTATGTTAAATTAAAGAAATTTGACGTCATTTTCGGAAATAATAATGAAGTTTAATATACATTTTTTTTTTTTAGGATTGATGAAGCAATAAAAATGTAAAATTATTTAGGAGATATGCTTCATATCTTTTTATTATGTAATTGATGTTCGTTAGTTACATAACAAAGAGTTCACTAAAACAATACTAAATATAGCGAGAAAATTTTCATACTTTTAATGCTGATTATTTGTGCCTGTATTAAAAATTTTATAGGAGAGAAATTAAGTATTAGTTAAATAAAAGACGAAATATTTTATAAAAGTAACTCATATTTCATGTTATAGGAAAGGATTAATGTAGGGTGGCGATTTAATGCTTCGTCCGAAAAATTTGCAATTGGTCTCAATATGGGTTGATTGCTAGGAAAATCAGGTATCGGCAATTTTTTAATTAAAATGCATTAAGCTCTTAATTTTAGTCAAAAATTTTCTCAGAACCTGATTTTCTTAGAAATCTTCCCATATGTACATAAATAATTCTACTCAATTAATTCATCAAGATAATTTTTGTGTATTGAATGTTAGATTTTCTCAGGATTTATTGAAACACATTATTTGATTAGTTCACTTTTTAATAAATCTTAGAAATTTATTAATATTTATTAAATAATATGAATATGCAAAAAGCTGGTCGTGATGGTTTGGAAGATCTGAAATGCCTTTTCTTCAGGTTAGAGATCTCCATAAAAGTTTTCCAGTGTGAAAATATTTCTATTTGTCACCTTATATATCACACGGATAATTTTGGTCAAGTTCGGTGTTTTGTCGCATATTAGCTACGTGGTCAACTCTGATACATTTGAAATTCGTATGTTAATCTTTTTCACCCACGTGATTTTCTGGTTGGGAATCAGTAAATTAGTGGCTGTCTGGATACTATCTAACCACGATTTCATGAGTTTTAGCAAAGTATACCAATGAAGAATGATATTTTTCCTTCAAAAAATATGAAACTTGGGAGTATATTACAGAACAATGGTTTAGGGAATTCGGTATATATAAGTTGTGCTTCGCTCATTTAAACTTATGAATGTGATTTAATTATTTTTTAATTTGATATAATTATTATTTTTGTGATTGAGCAGTTTGAGAGAATTCGTTCAGAATTTCATAAGTCACGTGATCACCGAAAATTTTGCAGATCGTTTGAAATTAACTGTAACAAACATAAAATGTTCACCACTAAAAAAGTTTTGATTTTAATTGCATGCAGCTAAATCTGACAATAAAAGGCCGATTAATGAATGAATTCTATTCTTTGTTATACTTATATTTGTTAAAAAAATCAATATATCAAATGAATACCTTACATGGATAAAAAAATCAATTACCAAAGAATATTTGAATTATTATAAATATTCAGACTTCAAAAAGATACAACCAATAAGAAGTGGTAATTTTGGAAACGTTTATCGTGTTAATTGGAAAGATACTGATTCACTATTTGCTTTGAAGTCATTCGATGATAATAAGTTAATGGTTAAAGAGATTGTCAATGAGGTATTGAAATATGATATGTAATTACCTTAAAATATCAG